GTAATAAGCAGATACTTACCTTTACTATATAACTACTATATAAAAGTAAGAGTAAGTAGCTTATCTTACTACCCCCCTACCCTTATTATATCTTACTTACAGCTCTTACTTTATTTACCCTCGGCCTTATTAACCTTACTTATAACTCTTACTTTAAATACCTCCCTCGTTATTACTTAACTTCCTATAACTTATTCTTCTTTACTTCCTTATACCTCTTAATACTACCTCTATTATCTAATCCCTCTATTATCTAATCTATTCTCTATTCTTAATCTATATACTTATTCGTCCCCTAAAGATAACTTACTCCTAATATTAGTATCTAATATAACCGCTTATCTTACTTATTTACTATAAGAATACCGCTAAAGCGCTATAGCCGGCCGGCTATATCGATAACCCGATTACTATCTAGCCCCTATCTACTAATAATAACTAAGCCTATAGATAATAACCTAGAACCTAACAGCTACTATATACCAATAGTATATATACCTACAGCTATATATATAGCTAATATAAATAGATAGTATTAGTAGGTACTTAATAACCTATAGCTAAATAACGCAGTACTATACTATAATATTATCTATTATAATAAAGATAGATACTTCTTCCTACTACCAGCTAATATTCGCCTCTCTAATCGACTAGTATTCCTAATTATTATAAGTAACCTCTACCTAGGGAAATAGCGGAATATATATTAGCTATTAGACTTTAATACTAATAGAGATATCTTTCCTAACTACTAGCCTATAGGTAGCAGGGTGATTATATAGATATATAGACTACCTTTTACTCTAGTCTTCTCTAGTTATTATATACTTCTAGGAGCGAAATACTAATACTATTTATAGATTATAGATAAGAAATAAAGAAACTATAATATATCCCTAGACGTAAAGGGCCTCTGCTTTAGCTAAATTATACTACTACTAGACTATATTAATAACAGTACCTTATAGATAGAATATAATAAGAAAGACTAGTAGCGTTTCCTAGCTACCCTAGCTATATACTACTCAGCTATAGACAGTATGCTTTTATATAATAAAGATATTATCTATCTAGTCCCTCTACCCTATATTATCGGATTCTACCTATATAGCGGAAATAAGGCTATATATACTATAGACTAACTAACGGATCTAGTAGATATACTTTAGCGCTAGATACTAGATATACTATACTCCCTAGCTAAGAGAGCTATACCCTACCCGCTAGTACCTAGTATTAACGCCGATATCTCCCTGCTAAGATACCTAATACTAGATATATATATAAACTAGGATAAAGGAACTCAGTAGTAGGAGCCGATAGTAAACGTATACCCTAAAAAACGCAAAAGGGACGACGAAGAGCTAGATACTGCGATTACTTAGCCTATAAGAGACATTTATCGCCTTATTAGCGACTTTGATAATATTATCCCGGCTATATATGATAAAGTTGATAAGCTAGCTAAACGCCTATAGTATATTAGGTAGGCTAGGAAGATCCTAGACTCGCTAGTAGCTAGAGAGATCTTAGATATATTTAATAGTCTTACCGGCTAGTGCGATGAGTATACAATAGCGGTATAAGATATAGAGATATCCCTTAATACAGTTGACGGCCTCGCAGCCTTCGCGCTACACAAGATCATCGCTGAGATACAGAAGGAGGCTAACAGCGTCCTCGGAGGGGACTAGGGACAGCCAATTGTGGTACTAGACGACGACTTGATAGATGTCGCCGATAATGTCCATTAAGTCATTGAAGCCTCCCGCTTATTACTATTTGCGAAGTTTTCTGATTTACCCATTTTTATTAACATGTATTTAAATACCTATCGGTCGAGGGCGACCGATATCTTCGGGTGTCGGCAGATGTAGCCCTCGGCTGACTCAGCATAAGCTGAGTCAGCATCTAGATAGCTTAGCTCCCGGCAACCGGGCAGAGAATACATCATCATTATCTTCCCCTAAGCTCTCAGTCTTACACCTTCCTAAACATTGAGAGTTCCCCGTGTAAACAAAGAAGGCAAACAAAGAAGGTGCAATGCATGTGACATTGACATTGACATTGACAAAGAAGGCGCGAGGGAACTGTCGCATTTTAGAAAGGCACGTGGTTTTGGGGTATAAAAGGGCCCCTCCCCCAACTCTTCTTCTCTTTTGCTTCTCCTCTCCCCATCCCTCTGACCACCATCTCACTGTAGCCCCCACGAGATAGTGTAGGCAGAGGGTTCCGTAGCACATGCTGCTTCACCTACCACAGGGCCCATAACATTATCATATGTATGAGGTCCATGTAGGTCTGCATCAGACATCAAACCGGGCTTTCTCGTGGACGTTCCTAAAAGCATGGCTCTCATCGCCATTTGACAAGTCTCACGGAATACATGGGGGGTGTAGATGGCCGTAGCCGAAGACATACGGTGTATGTTTAGTTACAGTTGCTATAACTATGTCTAAAGTAGATACAGTAACAAGCTGTGCCTGGATATAATGTAGGGATCTCAAGGATCCCAGACGAAGTCCTCGCAGATGGTTCAAACACAACGTGGTACCTCTCAAACGCGTAAACCGAGGTCTCTGGTGCTAAACTTACCTTATACTGGCCATATGGGTATGTAGCACATGCCAAAATAAAATAAAATGCAAGATATTCTAAGATATGCCAACTTTCTGTGCTACTTGCCAGACTTTACAGGGACGAAAGGTGCATTTGATAGAATAATAAGTACAAGGAGAGGAAAATAAAGAGAAAAAAGTTGAGGGTCCCGATTGTATGGTTTTGTGGGCGTTCTTGCCAAATCATGCAAATGAGTATTTTATTCGCTTGTACTTACTCATGCCCTGTTCCTTCCAAGGTTGCCCAGACCGTCAAGCCCTTCATGAGCATGAAGAAACTCTCACGACACATCGATCAGGAAGGAATGAATCTGTAACTGTAATTCAGGTAGTATCTTTATCTTTTCTGCCAGGAGTAATCACGTGCTCGTGCTAAGCTCCATAATGCTCCCTTGTCCCACTACACCCCACTTAATAATGTGGCATAATTAACTAACTAGGCGCTGATTGGCTCAAATTAGGCAATAGTCTTTCCCATACAGCCCCACCCTGTTCGACTATACACAATTCTTCAAAGTACAGGTATCTTTTGTATGGCGTAATCATACAAAAGGTACATAGATCTGATATTTCAACAATCTGTATTCTCTTCACTAGTGACTTCATGATCCATTTACTTCATGGCAAATTTGTTGCCATCCACATCTAGGTACGTGTATGGGCGACGAATCGTGCCACTACGACAATGGGACTTTTTCTGCACAGCAGAAAATTAGTAAGCCACCTATTACTAATAATACGCTGTTTCAACCTGGTTCCAATTACTCCGTAGTGATGCTTGGTCTTATCCTGAATACCGTATAAAGGTATAAGTCTTACTAAGGTACTATATAAATAGCGAGGTTTAGGAAGTAAACATAGGCAGGAAAAAAAGAAAAGAAATGGTGTGGTTAGCCGTCTTACCATCCCACCCTGAGTTAGGGTGTACAGGTATGGGGGCGGTAAGACGGCTACCTACAGTGGTGTTTCAAGAGTATTTGACCTCGGGTACATTGGGATCTGACCGCCCTTCCAGACCGCCTACTACATTCATATGGATGATGTTGTCAAATATGAGGGATGGCATACTAGTAACTATAGGTTTCTGCTTGGCAGTATTAAAAGTGGGTCATAGGCCCAATGTACCCTAGGTCAAATACTCTTGGAACACCACTGTATCAACCAGAAAAGGACGACTATATTGTATGTCTTGTTATTTCTGCCAGTATTATTAGTCGGCAACCCACGTGATCTGATCATATAATACCTTACCATTTGCACACAACATTTTACCTTCTTGGACTACTCTGTACTCCGTAGCATCTGATCTATATCGTCAAAATTAAATCACTTCTTCGTACAATTGAACCATGACCAGCGTAAAATACCGGTTGTATTTAATTAATTAGATAATAAGTAGTATCTAGTATCAAAATGCCGTTTTTGGGATTTAATTATCTCTATTATTAGTGGTGGTAGAATTAATTTCAATTGCTCCATAGTGATAGATTAGGTGATCTCCGAATAGCTTCATGATACTCCGTAATAGATCATGTAATCTCTTGAATCTTTATAATGATAAATCAGGATCTCTGAATAGCTTTATGGTAGAACAGGTGATCTCTTAGTTTTTCATCTCTCAATTGCTTTATTTCGATTTTATATACCATATGCCAGCAGTGTTTACCAAAGGAGATATCCATGGAACCGTCCTAAAACTATAATTACTAAGGCGGTGATTAGAGCGGTGAGCCAAAAAGTCCCATTGTCGTAGTGGCACGATTCGTCGCCCATATACGTGATACGTGTGCAAGGAGCCACCAAATAGTTACTGGTGTATTTTCGGTCCTGGTTTCGCGATCTCATGACCCGTGCGTGATCGTCTAGTAGCTATAACTAGAGAGAGTTGTATGGCAGCAGTTAGATTATAATCGGCTATCATTCATATATTCTATTGATCGGTTCTCCTTCGTATTGTAGTCACGTAATATATATGCATCACAGCCGCTCTACCTATCGATATCGCATCCCCTTCACGGATAGACTCCCATTACAGTGATTCTTCGGACCTAGATTCAGCCGTCTCTTTTCTCTTATCTCGTTTTGCCTCATGCCTGAGAATCAAATGGATGACAACGAAGAGTGCAGTAGCCAAGCAAGAGAGACCAAGATAGAGCTTTGCACCAATTCTCCAATGGGGTGCTTCCGAAGCCGGGTACGCCGCAATGGGCAAGAAGGCACTGAACAGGTATGAGAAGAGAGTTCCAGTGGCGAAAAGGACTGTTCGGGCTTGTGGTTCTTTCTCTAGATAGGAAGATGCCCATGCACAAAGTAGCATAGTCGACACACTATTTCAGTCAGAGAAAAAACCTTTGCAAATTTTGAGTAGAATGGGAGCACTCACGCTCCGATGTAATTCATATACCAACCGACCATGTACGCATGTTCATTTGCAGGCCGTATGATCAAGATAATAAGAGATGTGATATTTATGACCTAGAAAATATAAATCAGTATCATAGGTGCCGCTCTACTCTGCTCGCCAGATATACTCACCGAGTGAAGAAGCAAAAATGGTAATCTGGTTCCCAGATAATCACTGAAGCCGCTGAACAAAAGCTCAGCAACCAGTTGTATAGCCTGGCCCGCGATCGGCAGGTAGTTAAGCATAGCGACCGAGCTGAAGACACTGTTAGGTTTGACGCCAGAAAGAGGAGGGCTGATTCTTACTATTTCTTCGTTCCGTCGGGGTTTTTCAAGGACTTGAGCCAGAGGTTGAAGTAATTTGCAGGTGTAGTTCCCGTGCCAATGGACCAGGAAACTATAAAGTGTCAGAATGATCTAGCTTGGAAAAGAAAAGAATAGATATAGTCGACTCACTTGCAAATAACCAGACATGCCAGAATTTGAAGCTGCGCAGGAATGATTTGACAGTGATTCCCACCTGGGGACTGCGGTTGATCCGACGGGTTCGCTCTTTGGCGACGACTTCATTGCTATATTAGCAGATGTATTTCTAATAATGTGATTCCAGAATAGTATACATACTGATATCTCGAGGCCTGAGGTATATCTTGGCAAGCGGATTGGGGCGATCGGGCTAGATAGGGTCTGTTAGCATGCTGCAAGGAAGCTAGAGGAGTAGACAGGTTCATACAAATCCTGGCAAGAGAACAAATGCAACTAATGCAATAAAAATAGTGCAGACACCCTAGAAGATTAGGACGTGTTCCCCATTGTAGATACCAAATATCTTACATTGATGATAAACGCCCACCGCCAACCGCTCCGACCAAGAGCACCCTCGAGGTTCGTTGAAAGAGCACCTTGCATCGCACCAGATAACATGGCTCCGACCGGTTGGGCAATATTATACAGACTCATGCGAAGAGCCATTTCTTCGGGGAGATACCATTGGCTGGACAAGGTCAGTATATATATTGGTGGCAGAGCAGCTGTGCGTTTCACCTGATGATAGTAAAATAACCTGGCCAAGTGGCACCTTCGAAAAAGCCGATTAGGAATCGAAGACCGTATACCTAGGATTCTATGAGTTGGGGAAGATATTATCGAGGGGTTTGAATGTATTTACCTGCTTTGCACTAGTGGCAGTGGATAAACAGCAAGTCAAAACACCCCAAATCACCTATCTGTTGTCAGTATATTCAATCCCATCCATATAAGCCTTGGATTTATTCAACTTACTTCGCAGGCAGGTAGCCAGACTGACGGACCGATGTGGGAGATTATGATGCATGAGGGATACAGCATAACCATATACCCGATGCTATTGCGGATCAGCAGGGACATCACTATCAAACAATGAACAACTTACTTGAAAAAGGTTGTAAAGTAGTTCAGCTCATTGCCATATAGCTTCAACTCTGTCTGCATTCCCGAGACATAGGCATTACTCTTATCAGATAGTCAGTCAGAGTGTGTTCTTTTCCAGATTGCGAACGTACTCACAATATTCGTCTGGTCCAGATATTTGAATGCATAGCCTAGAAAACCAATGGTCAAGAAAAACAGATCCAGACGCCATACCTGCAGCCGTTAGTCTATAAGTCCATGCGTTAGAGGTCATGATACTTACTAGAGATCTCTCCTCTTTCAGGTGGGTCTCGACGACGGGAGCCACTGTGCTGGTGGCATTTTTCGGGCTAGGGGATATTGTACTCATCTTTTCAGATAACTGAAATTCATAGTTCTTGACTTCCAGGTTATATTCTCTTCGTCGGCATGGGGCCGAAATGGCATCATCGCGCCCGGAGAAGACGTATCTGATTATACTTTGATAAAGTCCCTGTTTTCGGTCCAAGTTGTATGTGATACCCATAGGAAACGGGGCAGATTCTCGATTTGCAGTTTGTAAGTATAACAATCTCGAGCTGATCCTATCTTTCAGAGAATCACACTATTTTAAGGGGAAATAGTTATAGACCAAGCACTCTTAGAACTGTGGAGACTCCTTGAGCTTAGCGTGTGTTTCAGCTGCGACCATCGTACTATGTTATTACGCCATAATCGTCTAATTAGCCACCTTCGGGGGTCAGTGCGTGAAGCTTAGCATGGCCCCGTCGGGATCCCTCCGCGAGGGCGAATTATTTTCCTTTTTGGGAAACGACGCAAAGATGTTACCTTATAGCCTAGCTTATTGAATTAATCACACAACTCGATTGTCTGCTTGTTCCACTCTCCAATGGTGATCTAGAGTATCTGTGTCACTCGATGCCAGTTATCACATTCATTCGAACAAATTTAGTAGGTGTCGAGTAGTGTGTAAAAGATATACCGCCAGCCAAGATTGAAGTGCTTGAGCCATATAAACTCCAACCTTGGAAAAGGAATTTTTGCCGAAGACACGTGCATTGGATTGATATCTTGGCTAGTAGAGATGAAGGATGCTAACTACACGGATTAGCTCATCACCGATCACGGCGCCGTGGTAGATCCACGGACGGGTACCCACCTGAGCCAAGATCATCTATTCCTAATTGGGTTTAGTCAAATTAACAATGATTGCATTGCCGCAGTCCATGTTGATATCAGTACACGGAACTTTCTCGTCGCTGACTTGTCCATAAAACTCTGCGACTTCTTTGGCTCAGCAATTGGAGTTGGAGGACAAGACACTCTTGTCTCAGAGGAAGATCGGTATCGAATAGCTCCTGACTCTCCTCGGTCTACCGCGACAGATATCTTTGCGCTAGGTTGTCTGATATTCAAGATCACAACTGGACTGCGCCCATATGACGAAATCGGCGATAGTGACTACCAATAAATCGTGCGAATATATTCTGTTGGCCAATTTCCAAGCCTTGACGGTCTTCCAGGTTCCTTCCCGAGAAATCATACACAAATGCTGGACCTGTCAATACACTGACGTGGAACAGCTAAAGTGTGATGCGCAAAAGAGAAAGGGATTTCGCCGATGGCTCTTGCCGGCTTCTGCTTCAGATTCTCACGGGTGTGTTCATTCACCACATCCACACTTGCTGTCTTCACAGTAAGTATGATTTTTCTTTGGTGGTTTCCAAACCGCGGATATCGGAGGTCTTGGAAGTGCTTGTGTGTATAAGCAGCTTGGTTTAAGAATCAGAAATATCTTATTATCCGGGCGGGTAGGCATATGCTTGGCCTATATATGAATTATTATTGCGGTGAAGAATTAGTCGATGACATCTAAAACCTGCCGTACTACATATCCTATTCCGATATACATTTCGGTACATACGACCATAGGGTGTGGAAAACAGGGCTTCCCGTCCGCTCAGCCGTACTTAAGCCACACGCCGGTGAGTTAGTAGTTGGGTGGGTGACCACCAGCGAATCCTCACTGTTGTATGTTTTTTTGTCTTGTTTTTTATTTACTCAAACTTTTTGATGGCTTAATCCACAGGACGCTAACTTCAACCACGAGAGTGTTGGATATGCCAACGAAACCCACTCCGAATGAACCAATCACACTCTAGAGTACCTCCAAACAAGCATTTCCTATGCTTCGCCCCACATGGTCACTTTAACCCTTTACTCGGGCCTGGATCATCTTCCCTCTCGTCTTCACCTCAACTTGCTGATGACTTCCAGGAAGAAAGCGAGGCTTACGAGGCTTACGATGCCCCCGCATATCTCCAGAAGATTGTCGATGATATTCGTAATCTGGAAGTCGTGTATTTCGCCGGTCGGGATAGTGAGTCGATTCCGTTGTCTGGGTGGTATGAGTAGATCTATATATTAAGTTCAAACCTCGAACCTTCGCGCTTAGCGATCTAGTAAACAATCTATATAATGAAGTAAACAATGCAAACAGCAAATAGTTGCTGATCCATAGAGTCATAGAACAGCCAATCATGTAGACGGCAATAAATGTCACGATCTACTATAGATCGCTATCACATGCTTCATGTTTGCTTGCTTGCTCGTTTGCTTGCTTCCATAGATTGTTTGTTAAATAGCTAAGCGACGATTGCAATGTTTGCAAAGTGGTTAGCAGCTATATAACAAGGCTACTTCCCATTATTACACTCACTTCCTCTTCCTCTCCATCTTCGGTATTTCGTTGAATACACTCTTTCTCTTTTGATCGATCTGGCGCTTCGCACTCCACGCTTTGATAGGTCAGGGCGTCAACTGGCCCTGCCTGGTCTTGGCGCTTTGGTGGCTCGGCAACTCGTCTCATCACATTCCCCCCATTCAGTTATCCTCATCTAAACCCACTCCTATTCATCATCCAATTTCAAATCCCTTATCTTACGAAATATGTCTTCAAAAGGTCAAGTCGTGGAAACACGTGAACGTCAACTCGAGCGCTGGGTTCTGATGAAAATCGAGCATGCAATCGAGAAACTTGAGGAGCATAAACAACGCGACAGAACTCGAGAGATGGAAAATTAGCTTCTCCCGTATGACTCGCGATCAGAACTCAGAGCTTAAGCCCCGGTTCTTTGTACCGAAACCTGACCTCCCGCTATCAAACGATGAGATACTCGACGAGGCCGCTAGACCTGATAGTGGTGATGATGACTATTATACGGCTGCATACGGCATGAATACTTTCTTAGATTCTTATGCCTTCAGCCAAATAGGCCTCTAGAATGACGGGCCGTGGCGTTCGATGGAGTAAGTCTATATATCGCTCTATTTATGATATCTAACGCTCGATAGCCCTGGTCGATATAGCTTTCATCAGAGCCTCTATTTCTATAGCTCTCCCTCGCTTGGCCCATCTCCCGCATTTGGCGCTTTGACAATGATAGATAGTCCCGGAAAGGAATATCCACATTTTAAAGCTGTCATATATACCGATATGGAGGCAGATAACGAAACTTATTTCCGTTCAGAGGTCTTAATCAGCCTTCGCCTAATGTTAGCCCAATTGAGAAAGGCACGCCTGCTGCACCATAGGATAGCACCGGTAATTATCGATTCTTTCCTTTCTCCTATTCCATTCTATCTTTCGGGGTTACTAACTAAGTATTCTATAGGTTTTACTTATCTCGTTGACAGGGAAGTATGTACGGGTATTGGAGTCCTATTTTGATGGCAAATTGCTTCAAATGCGCTCTACTTGTCTTTACAAATTCTCCGACCGGGACTCGATATCGACATTATACATGATCCTCGCCGGGTATATGCTCGGCCCTCCAATCGGAGATACCCTCTAGGCTGGGGTATCTTCTTTTTTCTGGGTTGGCATACGAGGCTTCAGGGAATGCACTCTTCAGTTCAAACTAGGAGCCTGCCGCAGCCTGAAGAGACTCCAATCGAGACAAAAATCTTTCAATCTCAAGCTTCTCTTGGGGCGTCAGAGAGCAAAGTCTTACCATGGTATTTTCATTGCAAGAACATTATGCCTAATATCTCGTTAAAGTATTTGCCGGCCACGATATGATCCTGGTTCACTCGCTTTAGGATCACATTAGCTGCTTCAAACCTTTCGGTCAAAGCCGCGGAAGAAGCCTTATGGAGAGATCACGGTCGGCGTCACTTTCCGGTAGCTTACGTCTTTCCAGTCTGCTGAGGAAGGACTCCTCCTAAAAGGATAGAAGCTTCGTTGTATGAGATGCTTTCTCCCTGGTCGACGAATTTTCTGACGAGTGTCAAAAAAGCCACAAGAGAGAATCATATGGAGCCACATAGCGCCGGAGTCCACCGACCATTTGACAAGAGTAGACACTTCGTTATACCCTGGCGTCTTCGACTCTTCCTCAGCTAAGATACGCACGAACATATCAAGGCACTTGAAAAAGCGGTCATTGAGCGCAGGGGGTTTGCTCATCATAAAATCCCATTCTTCATTAATCGGAAGATCGTAGAGTAGCCACCATGGTGCCGAGAAGAATATCTGTGCTGGTCCCGCATATACCCATTCCAGATCTACCATTCCGACGATAGTATGATCTTCAGCACTTTTAACGATCATATTAGCCAGACCAAGGTCATCGCAAATAAGCTTAAACGGGCCTTCGTCGAATTCTGTAGCGATCATCTCGGGAATCAAAGATTTCAAAATCTTCATCGATCCATATCGTAGTAGAGCATTTGTATCCCCAACGACCGAGTTTGGTTGGTGTTGGAGCTGTTTCCAGTCTTGCCCGAAAACATAATCAAAGTATTGGCGAGTCGTGGAGAATTCCTGACTTTGATGCCCTATAATATACGTGTGAGGAAATGTAGGAAGATTCAAATTATCGAGATATACATACCAAAAGTGTTTAGCCCTCCTGATTGTAATATATCATGAGCCTTCCATGTGAGCGGACGATCCCATGGGCATATTTGATGATGAGCTGATTCAAAATTACATGGACGCGAATGATGACTGGACTGGCACGACTGTGAGCATATATGCAACCGCACCACAATATTATATGGAAATGATTGGTGATATAACTGTGGACCTGCATAAAGACCCCTATCACAGGCTTATATGTATGCGATTGATCAGCAGGCCATAGCTTGGACAGGCAGTGTTTTGAGCATGCCACAGCCGTTAGCTAAGGAAGGTGCTGTTTTCGAACCAGGCTGCGCCGTTGAGCCACAGGAACATCAATATCTTGAATCACAAATTTCCGTCGAAGCCCCGACATACCCTCTCAATACTACTGAAGCACCCTTCAACAGCAACTCCACTAGCCTAGCGTGGTGGAATGAGGTTCTTTGCAGTCGGATACACATGGAGTGGAACTAAATAAATACCATATTGATCATTCTTTCACGCTGGAACAATAAAGATTGCAGCTGTTCCTGCGCTAAGAATCGGCTCATTGGTGACCTCAATGTAATAACTTTCATGCAATGTTCCTCCAGGTGTTAGAATGATGTCTTTCAATGGTATAATATATCCTGTCCGCTTGGCATTTAGAAGCTTCGCCGGCTCCGACCAATAAACTAGACGAAACTTCCAACCCTGATCTTCAATTAGTTTGGCATCCTGAAATAATAATAGACAAAACATATATTGCCGAGCCCCATTTTGCCAGCGAGACGAGAGATCTTCCCCGCAAGTAAATCTCCCCCGTAAGCCTTAGTCCCAGGTTCACCATTGATAAGCTTCGCTTGATTTTCACTAGTCTGATCAACCACAACAGCGGTTTCAGGTATCATTTCCTTGATTTCCTGTCTGATCTCTTCGGCAGCAGGAGATAGTTCATGACAATTCATTTTGACAGTATTTGGCAGCTAGTAGGGATCAGCCGTCGCCCATTCAAGTTCATGAATCAAATAATTCATTTATCGATATCTGCATACCCTTGTAGACATAAAAAAAACCGAAATAGTCGTTATGATATTACAAAGGGTCCCACGCAGGAGAGGTTAAGAGTCAGGAAGAGCAACGTTGGGCACGAGGTCGAGTGATGATACGGCCAATAGAGGCAGAACGTAGGCAGGGTAAGTTGTAAACAAAGTCATGTGATCACATTCCCAACAGAGTTCATCTCCAGACCAAAATGGTCCCTATCTATAGCCTAGAGGAAGCAACCTCGCGGCTCTTTTGACATATTAGAGTCATTTCATCTTCCTAAATATGTATTTATTAGTGCAGACCCCTTTCTCAATCACCTCAATTCATCTCTTTGCTCTTGATAATGGCGCTGCGAAACTTGGTTCAGTCAGACATCTTCCCCGACCCTCAGTTCTCCACTTGCCTTGGATGAGGTTCTTTACAACCGAGCTATTGATGACCCCACATTCTTGTCTTATGAAGAATGAAGAACTATCACCCACTGTTCACCCGGTTCAAAGGAAGATAAGCGCTGTCGAAATGCCTGTGCACTCACCTTCTCCGAACTAGAAGTTTCCCCCATACGCATTTGCAAGAACAAATAGGGCTTGAAAGATGGAGGCAACTGTTGGAAGAACTTCGCAAAACCGGAGAAGTGAAAGACTTTATCGAAAGGAAGATGGATGAGTTGGTCAAGTGTAAAGACGACCTGGACAAGGTTGAAGGGTTCAATGCCGTTGGAAAAATGACAAGGGAGGAATTTGTTGCCTCTGTTCGGTCTCTTCTCGGAATTGGCGAATAGATGCCTTGAAGGAATCTTATGTGCTCAGGGTTCAAAACTCACTTTACCCTGGTTCTCCTGTGAATCCTGTTTATCCCATACAAATTCATTCATCACTATTTTTCCTAAACAAGATTTAACGTGTCCGCGGGTTCCACACTCTCGTGCGGGGCTCCACAATCCTTAGGCCCCACATAGCCGAACCTAGATTTGGGGGCTGATTCGGGCCGATTCGGGCTTTTTTATTTGTTGTACCTCCGTGAACCTGATTTTTATTTCCTAATTACAACATAGCTTGTGACAGCTAATGTGATCACCTCTCCGTTTGTGTTTTTGCCGGGGGGTTGGTATCTATAGTATCCGACACTTGGAAGATGCTGTTTTAAGAAATAAAGAACTATCGGAGGATATACGACCAGACGCGTGGAAGCAAACATGCAGAGGCCATATGACCTCTTCATTTGTCTGCAAATGGCCACTTTGCTTCCCATTGGCTTCTCTCTTCACTTGTAGTGCATTGGGAATCCAAGAATCCATGCCGGCATTGTTCCAACCGCACCTTAAAGTGCTCGTAGCTACCGTGGTTCACCCAGCCGTCCCAGCCTCGGTATACACCGACTTGATCAAGGAATTCTTCCAGTAGTACAACGCTACTCGCCCACTTTCTCTCGTCCTCCTTTTGCTTTTCTTTATCCTCGTCGGTAAACGAAAGTGGACATGGGATAGATGACCCCACGTGAGTCGCCCATTCTTCCTGCAGTCTTATGAGCATGCCTTGAACAATTGGTTCACCGTCGCTGAAAAGAGAGCCTGAAAGGCCCGTGATTTGGCCAAGAAGTGAATCTCTGAACTGTAACGCGGCTGCGATCTCGGGGCAATGCTGCATCATCTGGATATCATAAAGCTTGTAGAGAGACTGTGCAGCACGAAGCTTCTTCGCCTCGAGCTGCTCTTCCGCGCTGAGCTCATCGAAATTCTTGGGTAGACTGATTGATTGTAGTCCCACGGGGATGGGTCCATCGAATTCAATCAGGGCTGGATGGCGGGCTTGAAGAAACAGAGGTGAGAGGTTCACGGCCTGCCAATCAATAATAGACAGAATCTCTGTTGGCTGATCCGGGTTCACGAAGATGTTATCTCCGTGCAAGTCAGGGTGCCATAAAGCAGGCTTGGATATTTCTTTCTTTTCTGGCGATAAATATTTAGCAACCTTAAGGTAATTCCACAGTGTCTCTTGCTTCCGTTGGGCGGTTGGCTGGTATTGACCAGGCCCATAAAAGAGTCCTTGTTGACGTGGGAAACGTTTCAAGGTTCGCAGACAAGCTAGTTCGCGGTGGGCGCGAGCACAAGCGTAATCCTCAAGAGATGCCCCTATTAGAACACACATATTAGAGTGGTTCTCCAGCGAGCTGAGAAATACACTTACAGGGCCCTCGGTGGACATCAACGGCATCTCTGCCATCATCGAAGAACGTTCGGTTCGTGGTCGGACCAACCGCAAATTGCTCGTCAACAGTCTTTGTATCCCCAAGCTCAATCATCTGATTTGAATGGATGTCGCGCAGATTGTCTGCGTAATATAGGCTTCCATACATAGGAAACGGAGTGGACACGAGTGCTTTCTCAAACTCAGCGAGTTTTTGAACAATTTGAAGTTTGTCGGGACCTCTTAGATCATCCCACAGCTTGCTAAGTTCCACTCCCCGGCTCTTTTCCATTATGATATACTCGGATCCGATCTCTTCGGTAGAGGGGCTCCAAGCGTACACCATTGGGGCTGGAATATTGAGGACATTCCGAACCTAGAAAGTTGGATTAGATCATATAGGACTTCGCAAGAGGAAGCCAAGTACCCCTCACAAAATCCATCGTTGCCACCTCACTAGCCGTGGTAAAATATTGAGGTCCAGCATTAGGATTCGGAAGCTTTGCAATTATTTCTTTCCCGTCGTCCATTGTAAGAAGAAAAACCTTATTAAAGTTCCCCTCTGGAAGCTTCTGCACTTCAACGCAGGACATGGATCCTGTCGCCTGGGTCGCGATCCTGACAAGTTCTGCTAGATTGAATTTAACATAACGGCGAGAAAGTTGTTCTTCCTCATTCCAAAGCCATCTTCCCGATGTGTAGCGATAAAAGCTATCCTCATCACAGTCTAAGGTGGAGGTGCCGTGTTGTGGGGCAGATATTGCATGCGACCGTGGCGGAACAGATGTCGAAAACATCTGCGTTTGGAGCGAGCTCCAACATTGAAACCTGGCTATATCGACAATCCGCTGCGATAAAATGCATGATGAAGCGGTTTTAACTTTGCAAAGGTGGATATGAGACTTCGGTTGGAGGATCCCATAAACCCTGCGCGCGTACATTTTGTCGAGGAAGCGAAGTCCACACACGTCGCGTTCAGAAAGTGCATATCCTGATCACATGTATATCACATGACATGACCGGGATGTAGCGACCAACTTGACTCTTTTCGCTCCATCCTTTGCACATACTTCGCTAATCTGGAATATCCGGACGATTTAACAATTATCAGATAGATATTCGAAGTTTCAAGGTTGTTGATTACAATAATTCTTGTCTAGCGTTGTAACCGGAACTCGATGTTCATTTATGTATGCATTGGGCTTCAAGAGTTAGGGCATATTGATTTTATATGTTGGCACTCCTTTATCATTTATAGCAACGGTAATAGCAAATGGCAAATTCATAGCTGATTATGATCTAATGCATTAATACAGACTGTTTTATGTGCATAGTTTACCTTCTGCATAGTCTTTACATCGAAGTTGCCCTCCAGGGCTATGTGAATTGATGATGTCATTTTGGCCTTAGTCAACTTTGACCTACGGGGTAACTATGGAGTATCTAGGTACGCTTGTACCTTACGCAGATTTCCGTGGCTCCAAGGTTATAAGGTTATAAGTGATGGTCACTTGAGATTCCCAATCAACTGAACTCGTATAGGTCTGTGCATCAGTTATGAATTCGGTTTATGTCCGAAGATCTCCCGAATATAGGTATTCCTTGATTGGCTATGTAGGCATGTATGTAAGGTATGTAGGTCCCGGTGTACATAGGTGTGTGTCCCCTCCGTTCCTAACTTCATCTTATTCCACACTCGGAACCAGCAGGGATGACTTCATATGTAGCTTTCGTGTGGGTTTCCCCTGGGTCTATAAGTGGCAATCAGAACTCCTATCTAGTATCCACAGATATGGGCAACGTCTGTAGTTCTGACGTCAGGTCGTGTGGGGAATGCCAAGAATGGCAGGGACCTCTGGATCGCAGATCGAAATTGACAAGGTACTTTTATTGTACTTCTTTTAGGGATATTCACGCAGATATTGAGCAGATCATGAATAAGAATAACATGACACTTTAAATTGTATAAAAAAAAAAAAAAGAAAGGTTCAACACCTTCAATCTCATCGATATCAGCCCTAGATCTCGATCTATACTGTGTTATACGCCACGGCCGCCACCACTCTGTGGTGTAGATCCACTATAAATCCGGTTTCAGCCCGTGGAGTCCCCATTAACACATACTTGGTACATATTTCCTACATATAACACCTGGAGAAGGTCCACAATCTTTTTTTTCTCCTTCCCCCTTTGCTCCCTCCCCCGCACTCAAGGATGTCTACCCCAGGGCAACGAGAGCCTCAGGCTGTTCACCATGAGAACACCGACAGTGAAGCCAGCGTGCCTGTCGATGTGTCTGCCGCGATTGAAAAAAAGAGAGCGAACGTTCCGATGGAAAGCGCGAGCTGAAGGAAGATGAGTGCTACGAGATTCTGGGATACTGCTGGCCACGATGGAAGAAATGGACCTATCTAGCCGCGGTCGCGTGCGTTCAGGTCTCTATGAACTTCAACACTTCGGTCTACCCTGCTGCTGTCAAGGGTCTTGCCGAGGCTTTTCACATTAGCGAGCAACATGCTCGCACGGGCCAAATGGCTTACCTGGTTACTTATTCTATTGGCTGTGAGCTGTGGGCTCCTTGGTCCGAGGAATTCGGTCGCTGGCCCATCCTCCAGCTCTCTATGTTCTTGATCAACATTTGGCAACTCCCTGCAGCCCTTGCTCCCAATTGGGGCAGTCTTGTTGTCGCTCGTGCATTGGTTGGTTTCTTCCTCGCCAAGCTAGCACTTTAACAATATGGTGGACTAACATAATATTTAGGGTGGTCTCTCTACTGCTGGTGGTAGTGTCACTCTCGGTCTTATTGCTGATATCTATGAACCCGAGACGCAACAATTCCCTCTCGCTTTCATCGTTCTGTCCTCTTGTATTGGTACCAGTATTGGTGGTGTGATTGGAGGACCAATTGCCCGTTGTAAGCAAGCACTCTTCTCCCTGCTCCACTTTGCAACCTATCTAACATTTGACATTCAGTCCTTGATTGGCAATGGTTCTTCTGGATTCAACTCATCTTCGGAGGATTCACCCAGCTTATCATCTTCTTTATGCCTGAGAGTCGTTCGACCATCATCATGGACAGAGAAGCCAAGCGTCGCCGCAAGACCGGGGAAGACCCAAATATTTATGGACCCAACGAGCTCAAGACCCCCCGTGTCTCCCTCAAGGAAGCCGGCAAGATCTGGGCACGTCCATTTTACATGTTTCTGCGCGAGCCCATCGTGCTTTGCCTATCTCTTCTGTCCGGTTTCTCCGATGCTCTGATCTTCACTTTCCTGGAGAGCTTCGCCATCGTCTATGAGCAAGGATGGGGCTTCGGTACCCTCGCACAAGCGTGGGCAATTATTCCAATCAACGCAGCCTACTTCATTGCCTACTTTAGCTACTTCCCGTGGTTCATTCGTGACCAAAAGCTCCGGCTTAGACATGGCGATGCCGCCATCCCACCCGAGCGCCGTCTCAAGTGGCTGCTCTTCCTCGCCCCACTCGAACCCATTGGTCTATTTGGTTTCGCCTGGACATCCTTCGGCGACTCAAGAAACGTTCACTGGATCGGATCCATGATTTTCTCCGCCTGTGTCGGTATCGCCAACTATGCCATCTACCTCTCGTCTGTTGATTATATGGTCGCTTCCTATGGTGTGTATTCAGCTTCTGCGACCGGTGGTAACGCTTTCGCGCGTGATCTTCTCGCTGGTGTCTCGGCCATGTACGCGACGCCTATGTACAAAAATATCGGTAATAAGTGGCATGTGGAGTATGCAAGCACTATTCTAGCTTGTCTTTCCTGTCTCGTTGTGACTCCCATCTATGTTTTCTACTGGAAGGGACCGCAACTTCGCGCCAAGAGTAAGTTCGCCTCTACGCTTGCTGCCGACAGAGAGCACAACCATGGTCGGCGTGTCAGCAGGATCAGTGTGGAGCCTGAGTATTGAGCTTTGATCAAACGTGCAGTTGCATTATTAGAAGTTTTGCATAGATATCTTGCTTTTTCATGCGTTATGTATATATGACTCGCCTTGGGCGATCAGAGGATTTTAGACCTTGGTATTGACTACCTGACGACAATTAGAGCTAGACCCGAACATATTTATACAATTTTATTTCAACATACTCCGTACATATTTTTAGACCCAGCTTTCAGTCATTCATATTTAAGGGGGAACATATGATGAATAACATGCGATAAGACGCAATGACCAAAAGGAGCGTTGAGCAGTTTGGGTGGGGAAGTGCACGATGAAGGATACAGTGGGGTCCGTTATTGCCTTCCATAGCGGAGGTATATGCGATGCTCTTTCAAACCCTAATCACATGATCTGACAAGCTGAATGATATTACAGCGTACAGATACCGTTCTGAAATTACACTGTAACAATACCAAGCCTTTGCCTGATACCTGTATGAAAGTTACTCAAGTCTCGAACTGTGGAATGTTCGATGCAAATAGAGCAAACTTGGTCGCACAACCTCCCTCCTATCCTCTCCTAGCCCTACCCGGGATTGTATCACAGATCGACTACAGTCAAGTCAGCTAAATTTCCTTCCCTTTGAGTAGGAGAAAGGCGATGAATACGATGAATCCTCCTCATTATGTTTGCTACACTATCGCCTGGAAACTGGTACTCAACCGCAAAACGGTGGGTAAAGTGACCGAAGACGACTTGATCGTAGCCCCCAGTGAGTACTAGGACAGAACGTTGAAGGCAAATGTTAAGGATATATTGCAAATGAAAAAGAAGCGAAGCCAACGCGTTCGCTCTGAAGGCACAGCTGTCACCGTGTCTACGCAGGTGTATCGTGTCGGTCAACGACAAGTCGTTGAAGGATTTTGAGAAATTCTATAGTTCTACTAACATTGGTTGGAAGCCAGTGAAGAAACAGCTACGTAAGTGGAGAAATTTGCTCCGTATGGGTAAAAAGATTAGGGTTCTCATTGCCTTCAACTACAGCTACGATGATGACGATCAGGCGAGGCTATCATCACGGAGGGTCGAGAAGAGAGGCCGCGTGTTAGCAACTAGTAGGATGCTGGCTGAGTATAAAGCACATATTGATACGGAAGAAGAGGCCACCGGACGGCCTTCAACCTGGAGTCTCGTGTATGATCGTATGCGATGTGTCATTCGCTCATATCCACTCATGTCTGATTGGTGCTGGGAGGATCCAAAGGACAAGAAACATAATAAGCTTAGGGCCCCGTACCTTGAACGACTCATTGATCATGTTGACGAAGGTGGTAGTCTAAATGACCATGATGATGCCCCTAGTGATATCCGTCGAGACCTCATTTTAGAAAGCCAGGCAGGGAAGAAATCCAAAAGGGTAGCGATATGACCACTGGATTGTCATATCCCCCGATTAGTATCAATGTTCTCCTAGCATAAGCCGCGCATACTTCGACAGGCGCTTTATTACCTCCAGACCAGTTTCTCATGAGAGTCTTATGATACCTGGAACTCGAGAGCAGGCTATGAGGGAATACTGTAATTGGCTGGAATCACGCGCCAATGACGAAGATTACAAAGCCGATTTCCGAAAAATATGCCAGGTAACTTTGGAAAATCGCCTAGATCTTGAATTGATCCTCGACGGCCCTGATGCTGGCTTCTTCTTCGTTCAGCGAGAAATTCAAATTGGAACTGCACGTCGCTTTTTGTGCGACATCAACGAATTACACCGAAACATTACACATGAACCGACCTCTGGCGAGATTCTTGATGTTGCCGGGTAGAGCCAATAGCTGTTATGTTTTGTTATCCTATGTGGCTAGCTCCACATGGGATTGACTAACAGCATGTTATTTCTTTGAGTTAAGGCGTAACGTGTATTGAATTTGGTTCATAATAGCTCACATTTACATTATTGTCCTGCAAGATTATTATATACAGAGCGTCCCGTTCCTGGTGTCATCACCTACACTCTTCCATTGATATGTTGACACTGTCATTTCTGTATCAAATTGATACTACCAATTGAGGCACTTTTGATGCACAAAAGTGAGTGGTGGTGCTCGTCGCTGGGTTATATCATGCTATCTGTAATGATTCTATACAAGCTGGATAGAACGGGCAATTCAATAGCAGGGTCAGAGATAAAGTCTTTGCATTTGCATAACAGCACAGGAAAACCTGAATAAGGGAAAACCTATGCCAAGGGAGATAAACAAGAACAGCAGACATCGTAGCAATAGAGGACAAAGCTTGGTAGACAAAACCCGCTATCAAATAGACGTCGGTGCGGTAACTGCTATGAGATCATATACCGCATTTATCTTGGTCAAGTCTTTCAGAGCCACTGCTTTGCAGCCTGAAGATCCAATAGCTCCCACTGGAGATCAGATCTTAGTTAGCACTGTATTACAGTGGGTATACCCCCAGCCAAGGTAGATAGATCACTTACATCGTAATCTCAGGCAATCACCGAGGGTTGGCAAATAACAAGAAGGTTAATCGAGGTCCTGATATATATGTTAACATACCATTGGAGGATAATCTGGAACACAGCCTTCTCTTACCCTTTGAACTTTTCAGCATTGGTGAGGTTCTTTCAAGTCACTTTCTTAGCGAATTTGACGACCATACTTCTCCCCCACTTCCAGAGGGATTCATCTTCCAGACATTTCTTCGCAATTTTGCAATTAGCTTCGTTCCCGTACTTGTCTGCAATGTCCATGTTCGCCATAATAAAGCCCATCGCTTTATCGACCGCACAAGACTTCATTTTCTCAAGTTCAGGTTTCTTGCAGAAGTTTGTCTTTTGCTTCGCCGCACATTCAGCCACAATCGCATCCGCTAACGGCTTTATTTTCGCTTTGTAGTTTGGTAATTTTAACCCCTTCTTTTGCAATTTGTCCCATAGAGGTATGAGTACCTGCTTCTCCAGAAAGGGCCAGTCATCTGCTCCAGGACTCTTGCCCTTGGAACAGACAAGCTTATCGAAGCTTGGCCATATTTCTGTCTCCATCTTGGCGCCGACCCCCTTCATAGTATTCATGCATATCTCGTGCGGGAGACCGATACTGATTGAGAAGCCAGAGAATATAAGAAGAAAAAAGGAAACGAATCTCAACTGCATTATGATGGTTGGTATGGGTTTTGGATTTGAAAGTAACAGATGCGAGTTGTTGATATGCCTGATGATGGGAGATCAGGGCTTTATAGCAAGGCTTTCTTTACTACGTAGAGCTTTCAAGCGCGTGAGCCACTGCTGGTCAATTGGGATTGGATCTACGACGTAACACAATAAAGAAGTTGATCCCTTGCAGTTACAATATTGTGATTCAATGGTAGAACGGCTGTATGTGGGGAATGCGATAAGCCTGCCAGGAGTCTACAGGACTGCTCCTCTGAGCTTTGGTTGGACCTCGGCGTGTGATCAGGCAGCCGATCTTATTTGTAGATGCTCAGTCACCGAGAAGTAGCGCAGGGCTTGCGATAACTAGTTCACCCTGTCCTGTGTGACTTCGTGATCCGATCGGCAGGACTATTGATTTGAACAAGTAGAAAAGCCTATCTAATGAAGGGTCTCAGACAGCGAGCGGGCGATCTTGCTAGATCGCCAGATCTACATGGTGATTCTGGGTGGTTCTATGTAACGATGACTCACTTACGACAGTATACAATCATTTACATCAACGGTTCTGCCAGAAGTATAAGATGGTGAGCTAAAAGGGATTAGCGTTGTTCGACTTATTTTCCAGGAATTGAGTGCGAATAGTGTGAAGGTTCAACTGATTTCGAAAACTACTGTACCAAGAGATACTTATTTCAGATGAACTCAGTAGTGGCGAACCCTATAGTTATGCTTCAGTTTCCTTATGAGTAATACAGTAGGGCGATCTTCAAGCTATTGGCAGGGTGCTGGACCACACAAGTGACTAGGGAGTTATTATAAGAGATTTGGATTCTTGGGGAGATTAAACTTTTGCCTTTCTCCACCCACTATTGATTTTCTCTAGCGCTGCAACCAGGGGCAAGACATTGAACTCAACTATCACAGCCAGGCTTGGCGGATCGATTTGGCGCAGAATACCCCTGACATAGAAGTGTCAATGTCGCGTTGAATTCCAGTGTATAAAAAGAAGCCAATGGTCGACAACCAAATGTGACAGAACGGGAAGGGGAAGCCGTCGAGCGACAGAGAGATTCTAGACATATGAACAGAAATGATCAACGAAGCCTCGGCGGGCTCAGAAATGAGTGATGAAGTGTATTGGTCGAGCCGATTTCGAGAATGACTATAAGTAAGGCAATCACTCATGCTCTTCTACCGTTATACCTGCATGCCGGAAATGGCCTTCGGCGCTTTCCTTGTTCGCACCAACATCCTGAACGCACCGCCGAAGGAAAGCGTGAAACCCCCGATCGCAGTTTTCTTCATATGTTGACCAATATTTCTTGATATGCGCCCTAAGTTCGGCAAAGAATTCCTTGATGGGGTTAAAATCTGGCGAATAAGGCGGCAAATACAGTGACTTGACACCTGCATCAGAACATAGTTGCCTGATTCAGTCCGAACGACGGAATGATGCGTTGTCCATCACAAGTACGGATTTGGGCTCTGGCCACCTGCCATAGTGCTGGAGAAGCTGTTCAATAAAAGATTCAAAGAATGAAGCATCGGTAGAACCATCGAAAATACGAGACAAGACGACATCATCATGTGCATAGGCTGGCAGTATTTGATAACCTTAGCCCCGATGGAATTTGGATACCTGGATTGGTGTCACGCCCAGTGGAGACCAACCCGTCCGCCTATAGCCCACCCGTTTATCGCACCCAGACTCATCAACGAAAACTAGATGAAACGAACGCAACTTTGACAGTTTGTGCTGGTAAAAATCTCGTAACTGTGGATTTCGTTCGCTTTCTCTCTGCTGCGCTTTCTTTTTCGACCACCCAGCCCGGTATAGAGCTCGATTACTGCTGGATATCGAAGGTATCAAGTTGAACTCGTCGAATAGGAAGATAGCCATCTCCTCAACATAGAGGTCGGGTTTTTCCGTGAGGTGGTCAAACAGGGCATCTACCATTACTTTTGTGATACTCGATGGGCGGCCGGGAGCAATTGGGGGAGACCTGGCACTGCCGAATAACCGCATGTTCTTTCGGATGTTAGTAACAGAACGCTCGCTGCATTTGGCTATCTTGGCCATTTGTGATGTGGTGTCTCTTTTTACTGCATAACATGTGAACAATAACGTCACGCTGCCAGGAATCGATATTTCGCGCCATATGGATTGGGAGGATGGATGATATACTGGGAGGGGAGGGGGGAACTCGAGGGAAAGGGAGGAAACTCTTTTTGCAGGAATTATTTTTTGAGGGGGCTATTTTTGGAGCTGTAATTAAACACGAATATAACTACAACCCACTCCTGTTTTATACGAGTTTGGTATTATACCGTTCGAGATCGGAATATTGTTACAAGTATTTTGGCTAGCCAAAATAGGATCAAGTATCATGTGATTAGGGTTGCAAAAGGCATCTCATATATATACATCCGTCATCGGACGGCACTGTATGCAATCTTCTATATCCACGCACTTCTATCATATTGACACCATTTATTTGTATCCCCTTTCTCGCGCATCCAACACTCCCTAACCACACCACCGACAAAATGATCACAAGCACAATTGAAATAGCCGCGCCGCCTGCCAAAGTGCGCGAGATTGTACGTAGCATTCCGAAAGGCCGAATTCTAATTCTTGGCTCAACAAGCTGACCCGTTGTCGCGCCCGCAGCTCCTCAACTTCTCAGCATACCCGGAATGGCATACGGAATGGCTCAAGGGGATCTCCCTCAAGGACAGCACCAAGACCCCGCAAGAACTTTCTTCGGGAGACAAAATCGAAGTCAACATCGAGAATTTCAAATTCGTCGCTGAAGTCAAGGTGAGAATAACACACTTCCCCCAAAGAAAGGAAAGTAAGCTGAAGACTCTCAACGCTCAAGGAGAACACCGAGAGCTTGTTTTCTTGGCAAGGCCCGCCCGTGTTTACCATTGCTGGTTTGCATAAATTCCATATCGAGCCGGCCAATGATGGAGCTTCGACTGTTTTCACGCAGTCCGAGGATCTCAAGGGCCTCCTTGCGTTCATTATGAGTCCTTCTCTGCTTGGGAAGAAAATGCGCGCCCATTTCGATATCTTCCACAGGGATCTGAAGGCCCGGGCTGAATCGGCATGATGGGGGGGGGGCTGGATTTGTTGCACACGCACAATTTGCTATTTTATGCACGCACTTTTGGTTTTGGTTTGGGTTTGGGTTTTGTGTTATCAGCGCCTTACCTCCACTACATTCCTATGCACGACGTATACACACTTGTATGCAAGGAATTGGCTCGGGGGATGTATATCCTGGTCACCATCTTTCAGGGATGGTAAACTTGGAAGCTTAATGAAATAAGGATAAATGAATGACTTCCGCGAAAATGAAAAACACGCCTTGTCAGGTCATCTGGCCTGCCCAATGACTGCAGAATAAGCGGTCTCATATTAAATTCGCTATGTTGTAGCAATGGTCTCGCCGACAATGGCGTGATAGACTTGACCGGTCGTCAGACCGTGGTGCAGTGGTAGCACACCTTGGATTTCAGCCTAGAGAAACCGGTTACACCTCACATTTGTGACCGTGGGGTATACCTCTCTAGGCATAGCAATGTAACACTCCCGCCAACATGTAAAAGGCCGAAGGACCGAGGGCGAACGCCCGCTTGGCAGACGAATCAAGCTGTGTTTGGATTGTGATGCTCATTATGACAGTGTTGCCTATGAATGTTTTTTTTGGTGAGCCAGGCTTTTTCGCACAAGCCATGCTCTGCCCATAGAAAATGTTGAATGAAACTGTATCTCATCTAAACTCAACGCTACTGCTGTATGGCGAGACCGACATTGAGAGGTCTGATAGTCCCGATTGATCCATGAGATTGAAGACAGTGTCCCAATGAGATCGAAAGAGATCTGCACCCTGCGGTTTCTCTAGCCACAAAACATTTTTGATGTGGACAAGGGTGTCACTAAAGTTGCTCAGTTGTAGAGCAGCAGCTATATCTCGTGCCCTGTCCATGAACCACCGATGATGAGTCGTGCCAGCTGAAGCCACCATCCCGACCGCTGCAAACCAGACATCAAGTGAGTCGAATACGCGAGGCGTTGACGCGAGATGCTCGAGGTGCTCTATAAATCGAATGACAATCGTATTCAGTATGACTGCATGCGAGTAATATGTTGGTCCCTGAGCAATGAACATGTAGATTATGATTCCGTAGCGAATGGATTCCGTCATCTGTGATGGCGGCGGTCTTGTTGTAACCGGGGCAGATAGTAGGAGTCGGTGTATGACAAAACAGGTGAGGTCGTGAAGTTGTGTGGCTGGGAAAGGTATATTGCGCGCTCGCCGGAAGATGTTGCGTAGACGACGGAAGACATTCTCAACGGCATAGTCTACTTCGATGATATTGAGATTAAATATTTGATCGTCAAGCGCGGTCGAGTCGAACTGCCATTCTGCAATAGGAGGGATGCCATCTCCAATGCCGAAGTCATCTTGTGTCTCGAATTGAGGATGACCCATGATGAGCATTGATACCCTTTGGAACATGTGAGTAACGATCCTATGGGTCGCAAGGGGTTGGCTTACCAGCTAATCATTCTCGCGGTAAGCGGGCTTGTCTGCCTTACTGCGTTGATGCCGCCTCTCATGTCGACCAGCTTTTTCAACCCATTAACATGCATTTCGCCAACTTTTATATTGCCTTTGCCGAACTAAGAGTCACATAATCAGGGATTTGTTCGAATTCTAACACAGTAGGAAACCAGGGTGCTTATGGTAGTGTCTCACCTCGATGGTTGCCAAGGTGATGACCGAGTTCATAGTCCCATCTTGAACAGCTAGTGACATATATTCAACCTTCCGTCGCAGTAAGGCAACTGAGTCTGCCATGAGAAGTTCGGAGGTCTGAAAGCCCTTCTGGGCCAACAACTCTTCGTCAAGACATGCTGTCTGTAGAGAGACGTGAAATAGTGCAGGATCCCCTAGGGCAAGTGGCCACCAAGAGATCAGAAACGGATTTGAAGTCGCATTAAGGTCAAGAGGATAGTACTGGAAGGCGATTTTGTGGAGGACTAGATGGGTAAGCTAAGCTTTCCTCGACAATTCTTGATTGGCCGCCTACATACAGCTGTAGATCAGACGTTGGACGTGTTCTCGAGGAAGTCTAGTCTGTGGATACGAATCAAAAGGATCAAGAGAGCCGAATCTGTAGTTAGTTAAAGTGCCGGATCCATCTAGAGCGCTTGTTGATGTCCCATTCTGCCACCCGGAAGTTGCCGGCCCGGTCGAGGGTTCGTTCGCATAGGCGCACTCGACTTGGCGTTTGACGCAGCGAGAACAGCGTGGTGTACGAAGATCGCAGCTGGACTTTGATTTGGCACACGCGTCACAGGACCGGCGGAGAGATTGGCGCATTCTGAAAAGATATATTGCGCATCCAAAGGGGGCCTGTGTTCGCTCTAGGAATAGCTCAAGCTGGACCCTCACACCGCTTTTGATCTCACGATTCGAATCAAAGAGTTGGAACGGCGCAAACGTAACTTGACAAAGGTCGGCTCAATGTTGAAGTTTCCAGGCGATTATTCCGTTATATGTGGGACCTCAGGTTCAGGTCCCGAGTGCGAATCGAAAGAGGACTAGACCCCGCTCTACCCCTGCTTGGCATCGGAGTCTAGTCCTAATTAGGTAATTTGCATAATCTGTGGATAACTATCTGGGCCCACAAGTATATCATGCCATTCCTAAGCAACACTGCCGTACTTAGGTGTTCTCTGTCCTTTCAATAGAAGAGCCAGTTTGCCAACTTGCCCCTATCATCTACCATCATGGACTCCAACATGGCTTTTGAGATGGCCAACACGTCAATCACCCAGAATGAGCTGCCGCAGATATGGCCTTCCAACCAACCCCAGTCCCAAAGCTACCTGATGACCTCCTTGATGAGGTTGTCAGTTTGGCAGTACGCAGTGGCATTCCTAATCGCCGTATTAGTCTATGATCAAGGTAGGCTAAGCCTTTGAGACTATAAGAACTCGCTGATGCCGTCTCTAGTGATGTATATCAAACGGAAAGGCTCTATAGCTGGACCTCCACTCAAGATTCCGCTCATGGGCCCCTTTATACAAGCTCTGCATCCGAAGTTTGAAGGGTATCTTGCGCAGTGGGCAAGTGGACCACTCAGCTGCGTATCTGTCTTCCACAAGTGAGTGCTCACATCTTCGTCTCATCGGACTTTATCAAACCAATCAAGCTGTCCAAACTAACGCAATTTATTCAGATTTGTCGTTCTAGCCTCCGACAGAGACATAGCCCACAAAGTGTTCAAGTCGCCCACATATGCCGAGCCATGTATAGTGCCGATCGCAAAGGATATCCTAGGCCATAAAGCATGGGTCTTTCTTCAGGGTAGAGATCACACCGAGTACCGCAGGGGGTTGACGCCCCTATTCACCAATAGGGCTATGGCTACATATCTGCCGGTGCAGGAGAAGGTGCTAGGCGATTATTTTGACAAATTTGTCGCCGCTAGCAAGGCGAATCAGGGAAAGCCCAAGGAATTCATGACCATGTTTCGCGAGATCAACTGTGCACTTTCGTGCCGCACTTTTTTCGGTGATTACATCTCCCAGGCCGCGGTCAAGAAGATTGCAGACGACTTCTACCTTGCCACAGCCGCTCTTGAGTTAGTGAACGTGCCTCTGTCGATGTACATTCCGTTCACCAAGCCCTGGCTCGGGAAGCGGACAGCCGACGCTGTCCATGCCGAATTTGCAAAATGCGCGGCTGCATGCAAAGCAAACATGGCGACGGGTGCGACGCCAACGTGCATCGTAGACCACTGGGTGCTCCATATGATGGAATCCAAGCGATACCACGAAAAAATCGCCGCGGGGGAAACAGACGCCGAGAAGCCGACGAACATGATCCGCGAGTTCACGAATGAGGAAATCGGAGAGACCTTGTTCACTTTCCTCTTTGCGTCTCAGGATGCGTCGAGCAGTGCCACGACTTGGATTTTCCAAATCCTGGCCCAGCGGCCCGACGTGCTTGATAAATTGCGTCAAGAAAACCTGGCCGCTCGCGGTGGTGATAAAAACAA